AGTTTCAATAGATTTTTCAAAATTCCGAATTTTATTCTCATTCTAAGTTTATCGTCAGAAAAATATTAAGTTTAATACAGAATTTTATAAAAGAGTTATAAAAGATCAAATTGATTGTAAAAATACTAGCAGATCTTACTAAAGGTATATATTCGTGTCAGAAACCTTCAGATTTTTTTATAACTTATCATAAACTGATAGAAGAAATATAAAAATTTGCTATATAGTCTATGATAGAAAAGTAAAAACACAACATTTCAGTTAATCTATTGCTTAATTAAAATTTAATATCCGTAATAAGATTTAATATCAAGATTTCGAAAACTTTGCTTTTAATATGTTTCGTTATCATGCAAAAAAAAGAAAAAGATTAAGATAAAATATGTATTAAATATTAATTTACTTTTTATATTTAATTGTATAATTATTTAATATTATTTATATTTATTATATCTTATATTTATATTTATTATATCTTCATTTATTGTTTTAATTTCTTAATTTATCATTGATTTTATCATGATTATTAAAATAGAATAATATATTATATAATAGAATAATATATTAAATTAGTATCATTATAATACATATTATAATAAATTATTACTTATCTTTAGCTATTTGCAGCTATTTTCAATTTTTCGAAATATATGTAAATTTTTTTTCACATTCGATTTCAAAATTAATGATCTAAAATGATGAATAATAATATACGAAATAATAAGTTTTCATTAATTAAATAAATATTAGAATTTATATGATATATATTAGGTATATTGCATAGTAATTATTTAATAAAAAAGTATATATTTTTAATTATAATAAATACATATGTTTAAAATATATTACATAATTTAAATCAGTTAAAATTAGTTTAGTATATGATTAAAGATATTATTCAGTATCATTAATTATATAATTTATATAAATATTATTAATAATAATTTTTAATTTTTTAAATAAAAAAATAAAATTATAATTTAAAAGAATTACATAATATCAGATTTTATATAATAATTTACTTTTATAAATATAAAGGTTATGCCAATTATTATATTTCATCTTTTATGAATTGATAACCTTATCTTTAAAAATTAAAAAAGTAAATGTTTTTTTTGTATTATTTCTTTGGTATTATTATAAAAAGTTATTTTTAAATATTAAACATAAACTACTAAA